AAAAAAAAAAAGGATCATGCTACATGTACCTCTTAGTGTACCACTTGGTTTACATCCAAAGGGTACATGTACCCATTTACCCTTAATGAATAGTTTAATAATTATTCATTAAGGGTAAATAGGTACATGTATCCCTTGGATGTAAACCAAGTGGTATACCAAAGAGTACAAGTAGCATTATTCAAAAAAACATCTGCACATAAAATATATAGTGAAATGGCTACCAGCTAAACATATAACAATTAAAACAAGCAACAGAGGTACGAGGGCTAACACCAGACAAGTAGACAATACGGGGTGAAAAGTTAGAGAAGATCCTTGTAGGAATTTCCTTTCCTAATTAAATTAATATTCATGGAAGAGAATTAAATCCTAATTTAGGAAACCTAATTTTACTCCAAATAAATAAATAATGTAGGAAATATATTTCCCACTAATCCTCATCTTCTAGAAGACTCCCAAGTCTCCTAATCCCAAGAGAAGATTCTAGTAGGAATATTATTCTCCTAATTAATTAATTAATATGGAATAAAATTAATTCCTATTTAATGGAATTAAATAATAAAACATCCCACTAGAGTAATATTATTGCTCTCCCCATTTAGCCACTATTTTACCAATAAAATCGACATAATACAAAATAAAAGTTTTGCTTTGGAGCCGTCGAATGAAACGACTAATGAAAATGTACACAATTATTTACAAATAGTGTATCAACATATGTCTTAAAAAAAAAAAAAAAAAAAACACTTTGGACAAGTTTTAGTGCATGAGTTATAGATGACTCCATAAGAAAATTATTCGCCGACTCCACAGGGTTTTTATGCTAAACAATGCTCTTAATATATTTACCATAAACCCTAAAAAGAACAGAGCTGAAGACATTAGGGCAACCATGGCCAAATAACATCAGGGAAACAAGGAAAGGGAACAACGAACACTCAGGAGAAATTAAACGAAACAAATCCAATACTGGAACTAGTGTCTCATAAAAGAGAAGGAACCCTAAGCAAGGGACTCAGATTGCTCAAAGAAGTACTGTGCCTAAATGTAGCTTTTTTTTTTTTTTTCCAAAGACAAACACAAACATGAATTATTAACCCAAATAAAAAGTACTTTAATTAATAATAAAACGATTGTGTAGTTGTGTAAGGTGCGTGTATTTCAAAACCACTCATTGGGCGTTGGTAGCTATTTAATTAGTGTTAATACCACTTTTTAGCCATATAAATTTATAAAACATAAATTTTGGCCATGTTTGATAAAAAAAACATCCTTTTTAGCCATTTTGGCATGTGTATTTACTACATTATCCCTACCTCAATTTTGGATTATTCTTTCCTCATAATTCGATTAATTTCACAATCGAAATTTTCATCTCCCCCGCTCGGCTCTGAAACCTTACGACCACCTTCAAAAAATTCACCTTCATCTTCAAAAAATTCACCAGAATTCTTGCCGCCTTCACGACCTCGTCCGAACGCCGCCCTTCACGACCTCACGACCTCGACCTCGACCGAACATTTTCACGACCTCGACCGAACGTCTTCACGACCTCGATCGAACGCCGTCCGAAAGACGGAAGACCTCGCCGGAATCTGAAATCAGCGCTGCCCTTCACGACCTCGACCGAACGCCGTCCAAAAGACCTCACCGTAATCTGAAATCAGGTAGCAAAAACGACGACCTCCTTTTTGGTTCAAATTAGGGTTTTTTTTTTGTTTCGAATTAGGAGTCCCTTCATGTTCGAATTAGGTGTTTTTGTTTTGTTTTGTTTTTAACTTGTTATTCAGCTTACCAAGTCATTGTTGTTTCAATTTGGAAAAGAGTTTGAGCCTACCAAGTCAAATTTGTTCCTGTAAGAACATTATGTTTTTTGTATTATCTGTTTTTTTTATTCTCATAAGTCCAAACAAGTTTGGGAATGTTAAGGGTGATATGTTCATCATACTTGTGAAATTTAGATTCATGTGCTCAATTGTTTTGTGTGTTGTTTTGGTTGGATCATGAAATCACACAAGCAACCATGCCTTTCTGAAAAATAAAAATAAATTAATAAATTGTTCGATCTGTCAAACATAGAGCCATGAAGAGCTTGTATTGTAGAGAGACTATCATGATTTATGATTCACATCTATTTGGAAATGCTTCTTGGTACCATTGGAATGAAAAAAAAAATCGAAAATGGAATTTGAAGCTCCATTGCTAAATCTTTTTTGCAACGAGGATATTTCCTCTCTGGATTCGAATTTAATCGAAAACAACTATGACTTGGATTTCATTTCTGTTTCTGAACCTGATTGCGGGTACATTGAAAATTCATTCTAAGGAAATTGTTATTTTTCGCTCAAACAGAGACGAAATGAAGTCAAAAGATGGCCCCAAAGCTTCCGTTTGGAAGTCATAAAATCTATTCTTAAAGTCTGTTTTATAATTTTATCAATGCTTGTTAAGATCTTTTACGGTTGAAAAATTATTTGTTTTCCTTGTTTTCGTTTTAATAATATTTGTGAGTGCGTGCGTAATTTGCAGATAAGTGGTCATATTGTTTTTTTCATCAGGTCAACCCAGGAGACATTACTTATGACTGGATGGAGTACTTTCGTTACCTCGAAGAGATTAGTAACTGGTGATCCGCTCGTTTTCATGAGGAATTACCAATATCCCTTTGCCTGCTTTGTGGAAATTTAAGTTCATTTCATTGTACTCACTGTTCTCATATTTATAGCAGTGTTCAGTTTCTTCCTTGGAGATCGTGGGAAGGTATGGATACAAAATAGTTATGTACTTGAACCCAAGCCATGGTTGTGTTGGATATAATTTAATTGTGAAAAAGGATTCTTCTTATTGTTGTTTCTCTGTAGTATCTGGACAGTGCTGTAACCCAACTTTCATGCACTCAATAGTCCTTCCTGAACTTGATATGATCGACAAAATCGGCAAAATATGTATTGCTGCCAGAGGAGATGGCGTCGTCAGCATAACCAATCTCGATTTTCATACCACCTCCAGCAAATCAAAAAATTCATCAAAAAACAAGCCAAGCCGATTGTGAAAGCACAACAAACCAAATGATAGTAGAGACCTGAAATTGGACTACTCTATTGGCGGACACATAGCTTCAGTATCCTCTGTGTAAGTGAGCCAGCTGGCTGCATATTCTGTATTTAAGGAGTGTTTTATTATTAAATGATATTTGTAAATTGTAACAGTAACAGTAACACTCTTCAGTAACACTCTTCATCAGGGCCTTTTCCATGTTTCGGGAGAAAGGAAAGCTTGTGATTTCAGGCGGGAATGATATATCAGTGAAGGTTTGGGATTGGTCGAAAGCTTTTGATCTGGCTAGCAATGATTGTGGTGAGCCTCTCGTGTGTTCAAACATCAGTCTGAGGAGAAAGGTTAGTGAAAATGTGAAATGGTGTTGTAATGGTATATATTAGTAGAAACTTCCGTGGAGCGTGTTATTATCTAATTAAAAGAAGATTTAGGCAAAAACTTTTCTTTGCTGAAATTGGCATTAGTCCCTACACAAAACTTTTCCTTCTTCTTTCTTTCTTTTCCACTTACTGTTTCTTCAATACCCACAATATTATTATGAATGCTCCATATTTTTTAAACATTATGAGAAATTTTTATTAAAATGCTGAAACTTTCTTGCCTCTCTCTCAAATGGCGGTTTTTTTTTCTTCCCTCAGGGCTACATTGAGTTATGATGTGCATCAGATTAATCACTATATGTTCTTTGTTGGTTTTGGGACAAATTAATTTCTTTAAGGTAATTTCTGGTTGTCTCTTTATGATTTTTTTTGCTTTACATCTGTCATAGTAAAATAATATAATATACTTTGTGCTGCTCATTATTTTCTTACACCTGTATATCGTTATGATGTATCTACACTGCCTTTCTTACTGTATACTTTTCGCAAATTATGAGAGTTGGAACGTTCCTCCGGGTCTGGTTAATTATGTTCGTGGTACTGCTATTCCTTGAGAAAAAAGTTGGGGTACAAATCCTGATGTAAGTTTTTCTTTTGTTCTTAATTATTTGTAAATTATGCATACTGGTTTGTAACTTCGGATGACAGGTCATTTTGGTATGTAATGTTATCGAGCATTGGGTGGTGTGTCGGGTACGGTTATTGGATTGGGAGATCGAGCTTTACGACTCCTTTAGCCACCTTTTATCGTCGAAGGCGTGTAATGACCGAGAGCTTATGTTGACCCCTCTCCGACGACTGCTTCCCACACTACTTCACCGGTCCGGTTACTTTGCTGCTAGGAAAATTCCGCCCAAGTTAGATACCTTACCGATTAAGAGAATGCCGAGTGAAGTTCAGTTTGTTCAAGACGATATCCATAGTTGTGGAGTATATGCGTGTATGTAAGTTGAACGTATGCTTGGCGTGGACATTCCTCGGGAGCCGGAAATGAGTTCATATAGAAAGAAAATGGCATTAGCAATTTATGCTCATAGTATTCCCGAGTCAAGTTAGTGTCATTTTTTGGGCTTTTGTTGCGTAATGCTATTGCAAATTGTAATGTATTTGGTACTTTGAGGACCTTGAGGTTACATCTATCTTGCATTTTGGACCTAATATTTGACATCTATCTTGGGGTTACATCTATCTTGCATTTGGACATCTATCTTGTATTTGGACATCTATCTTGCATTTGGACTAGATATTTTGTTTGATTAATCCACGCTATCTTGAGCAATTAACATGCATATAAGCGAAATTGAACCGAAACGAATTTAGCTAATCATCAACATTTCAACATCAACATTCATATCCAACAAAGAAAACAATCAGTACTCATTTATTAAAGTAAAACTATAAACATTCATATCCAACGAAGCCTTAACACTATGCGTCCAGAGGTGGTTGTCGCGGGTAGGGCTAAATGGCTCCGGAGTTCCAACGGGTGTCCCATTGGGTGAACCTCTGATCCCAACTGTCCATCCGAGTATCCTGCTGGTCCTGTCGCTCGCGAATGGACCGGAGACCATCAGTGAAGTCGTCGAAATGTGAGCCCATCTGAGTCCATTGGGTCTGCTGTTGGGTCTTCCAATGGTCCCACTGACGCTTGGCAAGTGCGGTCACAACATGCGAGTGCCTTCGATTTCTGGACATTTCTGGACAAGAAATCAATTGTTAGTCAAGAAATTGATTTCTTGTCAAGAAAATTTCTTGTCAAGAAATCAATTTCTTGGCAAGAAAACACATTTCTGGGACTAGAAACGAGATAATCCAGAAAACGAATTTCTGGGTTCCAGAAATCACATTTCTGGCCCAGAAATTATATTTCTGACCCAGAAATCGATTTCTCGCCCGAAAATGTGATTTCTGGGCTACAAATTAATTTCTGGACTAGAAACGAGACGATCCAGAAATCCATTTCTGGGTAAAAAATGTGATTTTTGGGTCAGAAATGTGATTTCTGGGTCAAAAATCGAGTTATGGGACAAGAAACGAGACGATCCAGAAATCGATTTCTGGGGCAGAAATGTGATTTATGGGTCAGAAATCGATTTCTGGGTCAAGAAACGAAATTATCCAGAAATCGATTTCTGGGTCAGAAATGTGATTTCTGGTTCAGAAATCGATTTCTGGGTCAAGAAACGAGACTATCCAGAAATCGATTTTTGGGTCAGAAATGTGATTTCTGGGTCAGAAATCGATTTCTAGGACAAGAAACGAGACTATCCCGAAATCAATTTCTGGTTCAGAAATGTGATTTTTGGGTCAGAAATTGATTTCTTGTCAAGAAATCGATTTCTAGGACAAAAAACGAGACTGTCCAGAAATCGATTTCTGGGCCCAGATTCGATTTCTGGTCCCAAAAATCAATTTTTGGGCCCAGAAACCATTCAATGTTCCAAAAAATCTATTCTACAATTTTTTTTTTTGTCATATTCATTTTATTAATTTGAATAATATGTGGCCCATTAAAAAGAAAATAAATTATAACAATACCTTTACACTAATATTTCCGAGATATCACCGAAATGCTGCCGGAATGAATATAGAGAAAATGTCTTTTTTTTTTTTTTGGAGAATGATTTCTTTTTTTTTTTTTTTGTTGATATAGTTTGAAAAGAGTGAATGAAGTTAAAATGTAAGAGAGAAAAGAGATGAAGTTTTTTTTTAAAAAAATGATATTAAGGGTATTTTAGTCTTTTCATGTGCCAAAATGGCTAAAAAAGATGTTTTTTTTTCAAACTATGGCTAATATTTGTGTTAGCCATTTCAACATGGCTAAAAAAAAAATTCACTGATTTAATTGTGTCTGGTTCATTTTCCCTATTTCCTTTTTTTCTTTCTTTAGTTTAGAGTGCGTGTTGGTGGTAATGTATAGAGGGAGGAGAGTCCGTGAAAATAGTTTGTCACTATTGCTAAGCAAATCCATGCCCACCTTTAAGTCTTTCTGCAATGACCTGTCATCACGGATTGAAGATTATAGATATTTGTTGCCATTTGAATATTGCCAACTCTTCTTTTCAACTCGTTTATTCCACAACCATAATATAAAATTAAATAAATAAACGAAATTTATTTTACTCTATTGAATAATTTGACTCCAATCGTGGCCGAAAGCCTCTCAGTTTTGCTGCAGCGGTGATTACACAAACTTGCAAATTTGTTATCAAACGTTAGCATTTAGCAACATATAATCTCGTGACTCTGGAAAAAACACCTACTTAAGACCTGCTGGAGTATCACTTGTGAGTTGTCCCACATTGATTCTATAAGGAAAATGAGCCTAGTATATAAGCCAAGTGGACAACTCCTCCTATCACAAATTAGCTTTGGGATGGAACCTCACTATGGTGCACCTAGGCTCACCCTCTTATGGCACGCTTAATCTGCGTGTGGGATCGCACCCTCGTGTCCCGATATAAGCCAAGTGGACTACTCCTCCTATCACCAATTTGTTTTGAGATGGAACCTCACTATGGTGCACCTAAGCTCACTCTCTTATGTTGCGCTTAATTTGCGTGGGACCACAAAGTTACCCTCTTAATTTGTATAGAAGCCCCGCAAAGTTGTTTTAATTAACCTTTTATAAATTAGACCTCCGTTATTTGCTATTTTTAAATTTTTTAGTCGAATTCATTATGAAAACAAATAATTATCACTACAAAAAAATGATGAAATTCCAACGGAAATATATATAAAAGAATTATTCCAACGACAATCCAACCGATATTTCAATACTATTATTTCCGTTGGAATTTTTCAATGGATTCCAACGGATATTCCAATGAAAATATTCCGTTGGAATGGGTTTTCCATTGGAATTTCCGTTGGATTTTGACGATTCCAACGGTGGATTTTCCAACGGGGGTGAAAAAAAAATTCCATTGGAATTTGCATATTCCAACGGAAATTCCTACGGCAAAAAGCCGTTGGAAATATAGCCGTTGGAATCATCAAATTCAATCTAAAATTCTAATGAAAAACACATTCCAACGGAATATTTCCGTTGAAATTTCTGTTGGAACTATTCCAACGGAAGCTATTCCATTGGAATATATAGGATTTTCCGTTGGAATATAACATTTATTTTGTAGTGTATAACCATCTAACTAGAAGTTGGATACGAAGAAAGGCACACACGTGTGAACTACTGTAACCTAGACAATACTATACAAAATGCACCCAACAATATTAAAAACTAAAAGGGGGGTTCAGGTCAGAAATCCTCAAGATACTTGGGATTACCTTTTGGGATTGACCACTCTAAAATGGAGGTTTTTGGTTTTGTGACTGAGGCAATGAGGTACAAGGTACTCAGCTGGAAAAATAAATATCAGTCATTTGCGGGGAAAGAAGTTCTCATAAAATCAATTATGAATGCACTTCCCCTGTTTGTTATGTCTTGCTACAGGCTGCCAGTGGCAATATGCAAAGAGGTGACAAGTATTTTTGCTAAATTATGGTGGAGTAGGAAATGATGAGAAAACTAATGGGATTCACTAGAAGAGATGGGACCTCTTGACATTCTCCAAGAAACAGGGTAGCCTGGGTTTTAAATATATCTCTCTTTTCAATGATGCTATGCTGGTCAAACAACTTTGGAGACAGATAACCCAACCACACCTTCTCATGAGCAGGATTCTTAAAAGCAGATACTTCCCCAACTCTTTTATATTTGAGGCTAAACTAAAACAAAACTTCTCATGGTTGTGGAGATAACGCTCATAGTCCGATGGTTACTGAAAGAAGGCCTAACTGTAGAGATCAAGAATGGGGCTAATGTTCAGCTGTATGATCTCAACTAGGTTCCAGGAATCAGAGGCGAATCCCTCAACTTCACAGAAGAAGCTGGTTATGGGAATCTTATGGTGCAAGATCTGTTGAATGTTGATGGCACATGGAATGACCAAAAGGTGAAGGAAGTATTTGAGGAAGAAGACGACAAAGAGGTTCCTAAAATCAGAACTCTTGACCCTCACTCAGTAGACAGATGAAGATGGAATATTAGCACTCAAGGCAGGTTCTCAGTCTTATCTTCTTATGCATTCTTGCACCATAAAAATTGTTATCTCTTGATATTGCTGAGGGAAGCAACACAGCAAGGAGGAAACAACAAATCAGACATAGAAGCTAGAGCATCAAGACAAAGGTAAACTAAAACATTTTTTATGGAGATGCTATACTAATTCCTTGCATGTGAATCTCAATCTGATGAGGAGAGGAGTAGAGATTGA